TTCTGTGCGCCCGCGCAGACCGCGTCGCCGATAGCGACAGGCGTCGGCTGCGACTCACCGGTGAGTAGCGACTGATCGATCGCCGACTCGCCTTGCGTGACAACGCCGTCGGCGGGAAAGAGCTCGCCCGCTCGTACTTCGACAAGGTCACCGGCTTGTAACGTGTCGATCGACTCGTCGATCAATACGCCGTCGCGCACCATGTGGCACTCGTCGGGGGTCATCGAAAGCATCAGGCCAACAGACTCTTGTGCCCAGCGCTGCTGACGTGCTTGTAAGAACCGCCCCACGAGCAGGAGGAACACCAGGGCGCTGAGCGAATCAAAATAGACTTCGCCGCGATCGAGCAGCACATTCAACGTGCCGGCGATAGCGCCAATGGCGAGCGCAAGGGCGATTGGCTGGTCGAGGTTCGCTGTCCGTGCTCGCCAAGCGGCCCACGCGCTGCGGAAGAAGGTCTGACCCGGCCAGACGAGCGACAGCCAGCCGATCGCCAAGCTCAGCCAACGGAAGAGCGTCGCGAACTGCGCTTCGATGCCGTCGAAGACGCCCGCGTAGAGCGCCGTGGCGATTAACATATTATTGCCCGCCAAGGCGCCGGCGATCGCCATGTTCACCAAGCGCCGCCGTTCTGCAATGCCCGCCGCAGCGCGGGCCGACACGTCGCGGGCCGGGTGTGGCGCGTAGCCGAGTCGGTCGAGCGTCGTCGCTATCGTCGAAAGTGTGACGCCTTGCGGGTCCCAAGTGATCCGGGCCCGCGACGCTCCGAGCGACAACCGCGCCTCGACAACGCCCGGCGCGATATGCGGCAGTCGCTCGACTAGCCACACGCACGCCGCACAGTGCACACCTTCGAGGCGGAACTCGATATGGCGAAGCCCCGAGTCCGCTTCGGTCGTGTGCCTATCGAGAAACGATTGAGAGTCGTAGGCGGCGTAGCGTTTGTTTACCCTCCCGGTGGAAGCATGCCCAGAACCGAAGCGTTCGCGCAACGCGTAATAGTCGGCCAAACCGCAGCCGTGGATGGTCTCGTAAGCGACTTGGCACCCACTGCAGCAAAACTGCTCCGTGGCGTCGGCGATGAAGAGCGCCTCGGGCACCGGTAGACCACAATGGTGACAGCCGCGCCTGGCAGATTTGCTACGTGTCTCGTTATCAGTTGCGTCTAGAACAGCGTTCACTTCTTGCCCTCCAACGCCGCGCGACAGCAAGGCGGGAGCACGCTTGGATCGGGCGTAGCGCCAGATGACGATTCGACAGCGACTTGTTGAGCCAAGTTCTCGGCCGAAAGCGTCATCCGCCCGCTCAGCGTCACACAGCCAACAGCCACCAGCGCCGCGGCGGTGGCGATCGGGAGTCGCTCGCCCAACACACCAGCGAGTTGACGGACGCCGACCCCCAGTGAAAGCAACACCGGCAGCGTGCCGACCCAGAAGGTCGCCATCACCAACGCCCCCTGAATTGGTCCCCCTGATCCAGCGGCGGTCACGACAAAGGCATAGAGCCATCCGCACGGCAGCAGCGTGGTAAGGAGGCCAATCACCATCGCGCGGGGGACGGCGGCTTGTCGAGCGGCGAAGCGCTGTCCACGCTGCACGAGCCGGACCCACGCCGCGGGGGGACGCCAATGCCCGAATTTCGCCAAGCCAATCTTCCATTTCCGAAGTCGAGCGATCTCCGCCAGTCCGAAGAGCACCATCACGCCGCCTGCGAGCGCCAGAGCGATCGGCTGCAGTCCCGCCAGGGTCGAAGCCAAATCCAGCAACGCGCCGGCGGCTCCTGCCGCGGCGCCGACTACCATGTACGTCACCAGTCGCCCGCCGTGGTAGGCCGTGTGCAGCAGCGCCGCGGCGCCGCGCGAGCGACCGCCGCTCACGGCGATCGCGCAAAACGGGCCGCACATCCCCGCGCAGTGCAACGACCCAAGCAGGCTCGCCGACAGGACCGTCAGCAGCATCGCTGTCATGGCTTGGGCGCCTCGATCCAGAGGTCTTCGTCAACGAGCAGCCGATCCTCGCCGCGCTGCGCGACGGCGCTCAACCGCCATAACCCGTCGCGGCGTAGCGGCAAGACGGCTTCGTAAACGCCGAGCACCGCTTGGGGCTCGATCCGTTGCACGAAGCGATCCTGAGGCTTTGCGTGATGGTACATCGACAACTCAACCACCGCATTCTCGACCGGTGCGCCTTGCGAGTCTCGTAGCAGGAGTTGCACGCGGCGGTCGCCGTTGAGTTCCGCGAAGTCCAACGGCGTGAAGTCGAGGTTCCAGCCGAGCGAGTCACTCGCCCGCTTTGCCGCTTGCTGAGCGTCCCAGCCGAGAGCATCTTCGTACCCTGAGGGCGCCGTCACCGCGGCCGGGATCATTGCCGCCGCGACCGCTAGCGCGCCAACGATGATGAAGGCGTGACCCGCGAGCAGCGCGATGACGATCACGGGCCACTGGTAGTGCCTCCAGGCCGCGATTGGCTTCGCTTCAGGGCTTGGCATCAGCGGACTCACTTTCAGGGCTTGAGGGTGTGGTTGATGACTCGCGTTCGATGGCGCCGGTTACGGGGCCGAAGAGCAGGTAGACTTGCTCAACCGATTCGCCTACGTCATCGACGAACCGCAAGGTCGCTTTGACCGTGCCGCCGCGCTCTTGAAACGCTTCTTGGGGCGCCAGCAGATGAAGGGGCTCGGTCACCGATTCTCCAGCCCCGAGCTTCAGCTCGACGGAGCTGAGCAGGTGGAGAGACTCTGGCGCCACCGCCTCGACTCGGTAAGTTCGTTCTTGGTCGGTTCGGTTCACGAGCTTGGCGCGGAGGATGTTCTCGACCTCGCCACCTGCCGTGATGTTGAACGGGCTCCCCAAGCCGCGGAGCAGCGTCACGTCGAACGCCTTGCGGCTCACTAACAACGTGACGAATAGCACGCTGAGAGCCAGTATCAAACCCATGTAGATGAGCACCCGCGGACGGGCAATCGGCGTTGGCTTGCCTGCGAGCGCGGATTGCGAGCTGTAACGGATAAGTCCTCGGGGTAGGCCGACGCGGTCCATCACATGGTCGCAGGCGTCGATGCACTGTGTGCAGTTGACGCACTCGAGTTGCAACCCGTCGCGGATGTCGATGCCGGTTGGGCAGACCTCCACGCACTGGTGACAATCAACGCAGTCACCAAGTCCCTTTGCCTTCCGGTCGCGGCCATGGCCGCGTGGCTCCCCGCGGGTCGTGTCGTAGCCAACAATCAAGCTCGAACGATCGAGCAGCACTGACTGGAACCGTCCGTAAGGGCAACCGATGATGCACAGCTGCTCGCGCCAGTAGCAGAAGTCGAACAGGATCAGCACCGTGACGAACGCCACCAGCGCGAAAGCGCGGGGGTGCTCTAGGGGCGTCGAGTTCCAGATGTAGGTGTTGAGTTGATCCACACCGATAAAGTAGGCAAGGAACGTGTTCGCGAGGTGAACCGCGATGACGAGGAACACCAAGTACATCGCCACGGTGCGCCAACCGGCGACGGCATGGCGGGGTTTGCCACCCTTGCCCATCGTGCCCAGGCAGAGCCGTTCGATCGGACGAAAGACGAACTCCATATAGACCGTTTGCGGGCATGCCCAGCCGCACCACACTCGTCCCATGATGGCGGTGGCGAAGAAGACCGTCAGAAACACAATCAGCCCGAACACCGCGAGCAGTTCGAGGTCGGTGGGCCGAAACTCCAGCCCGAAGACCATGAAGCGGGCTTCCCACAGATCGAACTGCAATGCCTGCCGCCCATTGATCTTGATGAACGGCAGCAGCGTGTAGACAGCAATCAACGCATAGGCGACGACGCGTCGGCGTGACCAGAACCGCCCCGCCGCGAGCCGCGGCGTAAGCCAACGCCGGCGCCCGTCGCTCTCGAGCGTCGAGAGCACCCGCTCCTCGGGCGGCAGTACCGGCAGTTCATTCACCATGGCCATGAGATCGAATCAATGCGAGCCGGGTGGCCTCAGCCCCCGGAGGGCCAAGGAGCAATCTCAACGCCCTCCGTGAGTCGAGCGCTCTTCAAGCTCTTCCCACGCAGCGACGCCACGTACGCGGCGGCGAGCACGACTTCATTCGGGTGGAGGCGATTCCCCCATGCCGGCATGGCGCCGTTCTTCGCGCCGTCGCGGATCACTGTGGCGATGTCCTCGATCTTCTTGACGTTCAGGTAGTTGTCGTCGGTGAGGTTGGGGCCAGAGATGCCGATTCCTTCGGGGCCGTGGCACGAGACGCAGTTGGTCTTGAAGGTCGACTCGCCGACAGGGAGCCACTTGGGGTCGTTCATGAACTTGACGATCGTCGTTTCGTCGGGCGTCAAGTCGCCGATCTCTCCAAATTGCAGCCGCATGTTGTCGGCGAGGCTGGCCTGGTACTGGTCGGCGAGCGTGCGGCCTTGCAGCGGCGCATGGAACCAAATCGCATAGATCGGCGAGAAGACGATCGTCGCGACGAACATAAGCTCCCACCAGCGCGGCGTGGGGTTGTCGTATTCTTGGATCCCGTCGTATGAGTGACCGGTGAGGACTTCGTCGCCAGCGGGCTCAAGCGGAGTGGTGGATTCTTCGGCCATGCCGCGTTCCTTCAGTTGATCGAAACGAAGTTCTTATCGTGGCTGTTCGAGCCGTCGCAAACGCCGCACAAAACACTGTCCTCGTCGTCGAACGGGTCTTCAAGTTCACTCTCAAAGAGTTCTTGGAACTCCTCTAGCTCTGAGTCGTCCTCAACCCGATCAGCCTCATCGTTGAGCGGCAATGACGCCCAACCCGAGATCTGTTTATAGAGCCGCGTCATTGTCCAGACGGTGATCGCGGCGTAGACGCCGAAGAAAGTGAGCAGTCCGTACACGGCGTACGGGGTGAGGCCGAGGTCGGCAATCGATTCTTTAACCATGATCCTTTCTTGCGTTGTTAAAGCGCCGTCGCAGTGCGATCGGCGGGCGCTGGAGGCTCCGGGGTGACGCTTTTCTCGGCCGTTGTGCCGAGAACGCCAGAGTCCGCGGGCGACACTTCTTCGGCCGAAGCGTCGGGGGTTTTGAAGAGGTCCGTTCCAACTCGCTGGATGAACGCCACTAGGGCGATCACCTCTTTGTCGGCGAGGTCGATCGACTGGCCAAGGTTGCCGGCGCGGTCGGGGAGTTCGGTGTATGGTTGACCTTGGTTCTGCTCGACAAACTCTTTCGCAATCAAAGCGGCCTGCGCCTGAGCGTCGGCTTTCGCCTGCTCCAGATTGTCCCCCTCATACTGCGGGTACGGCACGCCGAGCGTCTGCATCGCCATCACGCGGAGCGGAATCGAGTCAAAGTCGAGCTTCTTCCGCATCAGCCACGGGTAAGGCGGCATGATC